TGTATCTTCTTTGCTCGGATAACTTATTTGTGAAATCTTTGGTCCTTGAGTATATTCTTTTTGCCACAGCTGGTTTTCCAGCATTCTCACATTTCTAAAATGTGAGGCATGCACACAGCTGGAAATAATGGACTTTGTCATCATACATGTTTCTGTTTTTATAACTGTACCAATCCACTACTGTTCATTTGGAGCAAGCTGTTTCTGGTAAAGCATTCTAGTCAAGCAAGCTATACATTCTACACGGTCAATCCATAGACGGCACTTGCTGCAAGCCCCAAATGCAGTAATTCCAATATACAATTTTATTCAGCTTATCTCTGCTTTATGCCTCTAACTTTTAATTCCTGAATATATATAGAATTGTTTTTTGTGAAGTTTTTTCTTTTTGTTGTTTTTTTTTGTGTGTGTTTTGTTTCTTTCATATTCTCCCTTTTGCAGATCCCATTCTAGAGTAAGAATAAAAATAAAAGAAAATAAGGCTTTCCCACCTTCTCTATGCCAAAGCTATGGGAGCAGATACTGCCAACCCATATTGTCATCAAGCATTCCTCCCTCACTTATTTCAGGGGAAGCTGGTTGCTTTTAATGACAGGCCTCTTGTGCTCTGGGGTAGGATCCAATTATTTTGGGGTTCTTTCTCGATCGTGCTCCCATTATTTATTAGAAGAACCACAAGCTTTTCCCAAGCTTGAAAACTAGAGCAGATCATCATTGCACAAAACACCCCATTTCAAAGGGACCCATTGCCCCTTTCTACATCTTAGAAAATGTTCTCCCCACCGGGTCTACTAATGTCGGTCCTTAATTACAGGGCAGCCAAGTAGAGTATGTGTGCTGCTGGCAAGGGAACACCGTCTGAACCTGGGCAATATAGTAATTGCTGAAGTTGGCATCTGCTACGTATGGGGCTGGTTGGTAATAGCAGGTGACATTGGCCACATTGGGGATGATATTTTGCTCAGCTAGGACCCGGATGGCCAGCATGGTGATCAGATTCAGAGTTTGTCTCCTCTCATGTCCCATCAGGCACACTGTGCTCTCATTCACCACACCGTGAAGGGTCATGAGATAGTCATACTTGCGGTCCTCTAATCCCACAAAGTGGTTCTGCAAGTAGGACTCCAGCTTTCTCTGCTGTTCTCCAATGTCTGAGAAGTCAATGAAAAACCTTGAACACATGTATCTCTGCAGGGACTTAATCTCGGATTCAGAGGCAGCCCTAAAGCCCCTTACCAAAAGGTTGCAGTACTTCAGAAGGCCACCTCCTCTGATTTCTTCTGGGTTTCTGGTGGCGATTATCTTGTTGCAGAGGTGATCAAAGGCTTCCTGGAAATCCCCATAGACACTCTCACCAATGATAGTTGGGTGAAAAGTTTCAGTCATAGGATTCTCTGAGCACTCATAAAAAAGCAGCAGGGAGTCCAGCTTGATTTGAAAGGAATCGACACTGAATTCAAACTGCCGCCTCAGAGAGTCCACAAATTTCAGCTCCACATTCTTGCCACTGTTGTTGGACAGGGAGATGAGACTCCATCGGTCTGAATCATTGCATACTTTTACCATTTTCTGCACATAAGCCTCCTATAATTGGAAAGACAAAATGAGCAAATCAAGACACAGATGCAAGAAATTTCCGTACCACTGCACTTGCTTGCACCCCCCACCCCCAAATCCTTGTGTTTCATAAAAGATTTCATGGAGCCTGCAGATACAAACCAGAGAAGAAGTACTTAATATGAGAGCTCAGAAAGAGTGCTGTCAGTGCAAGGGGATGACAGGGAAGGGCATTCTGCTGAGACTGTGTCTTGCAAGGGAAGCATATAGCAACACTGCATCTTTCAGTCACTTCTAAATACATCTACACACTAAGCCCATGGCACACATGCCAAATATGCATGCACCCACATGCAAAACGTCCCTACTACAATCAGATTAGAAATCTTATTTATCGGTTTCCACTTCTTTCTCTCCTCCCCAGAAAAACAACTTAGCAATTGTTCACGCTCCTCAATCCTCCCAGTGCAGGTTGCACAAATCTGTGTAATAATTTTTTTACAAAATCCCTCTAAAAATCTGAAAGGCATTTGGCATAAAGCCTAATCAACTCGAGCGAACTGTCTTCGAGGGAAGGGAATATGCCTCCCCCCTGGGGCGCTTAGTGCACCTGAAAGAGTGCCTCGCAGATGGGATTTTCTTCTTGCAGATCTTCAATCCATCTACCTCTCCCTGCACCCGAGAACCGGGTCCGGCACCCCGAGCTGTCGCAGAGCCGGGCTGGGCTGGGAGAGAGGTGTGCAGCGCCTGGCACACACACGCCCCAGGTAAAACAACACTCCCAGCAAATCAACCGAGAGGGAGAGAGGAAAAGCTAAGTAATCCCCAAGAGCTCAGCCAGGGCACCCCGCTGCAAACCCCTCCTCAGTTTGAAGCGTGGGGTGAAAAAAAAAATCGCTCAGGGTTCCCCCTGGGTCGCGGGGTGTGGGGGGAGCTGCGTTCCTAAACGCACCCCTTCAT